GAAATTCATTTCTCACCTTCCGGTCCGCACTAGCCAGGCGGACTCCAAACCAGACAGCGTGTCCGAGTGGTTAAGGAGGTGGACTTGAAATCCATTAGGCTCAGCCTGCGCAGGTTCGAATCCTGCCGCTGTCGGGTTATCCTATGGAAGGAAATTCATTTCTCACCTTCCGGTCCCTATTAGCCAGGCGCGCTCCAAACCAGACAGCGTGTCCGAGTGGTTAAGGAGGTGGACTAGAAATCCACTGGGCTCTGCCCGCGCAGGTTCGAATCCTGCCGCTGTCGGGTTGTCCTATGGAGGAAAATTCATTTCTCACCTTCCGGTCCGCACTAGCCAGGCGGACTCCAAACCAGACAGCGTGTCCGAGTGGTTAAGGAGGTGGACTCGAAATCCACTAGGCTCAGCCTGCGCAGGTCCGAATCCTGCCGCTGTCGGGTTATCCTATGAAAGGAAATTCATTTCTCACCTTACGGTCCGTATTAGCCAGGCGCGCTCCAAACCAGACAGCGTGTCCGAGTGGTTAAGGAGGTGGACTAGAAATCCACTGGGCTCTGCCCGCGCAGGTTCGAATCCTGCCGTTGTCGGGTTGTCCTTTGGAGGAAAATTCAGTTCTCACCTTCCGGTCCGCACTAGCCAGGCGGACTCCAAACCAGACAGCGTGTCCGAGTGGTTAAGGAGGTGGACTTGAAATCCATTAGGCTCAGCCTGCGCAGGTTCGAATCCTGCCGCTGTCGGGTTATCCTATGGAGAGAAATTCATTTCTCACCTTCCGGTCCGCACTAGCCAGGCGGACTCCAAACCAGACAGCGTGTCCGAGTGGTTAAGGAGGTGGACTTGAAATCCACTGGGCTCTGCCCGCGCAGGTTCGAATCCTGCCGCTGTCGAGTTGTCCTTTGGAGGAAAATTCATTTCTCACCTTCCGGTCCGCACTAGCCAGGCGGACTCCAAACCAGACAGCGTGTCCGAGTGGTTAAGGAGGTGGACTCGAAATCCACTAGGCTCAGCCTGCGCAGGTCCGAATCCTGCCGCTGTCGGGTTATCCTATGGAAGGAAATTCATTTCTCACCTTACGGTCCGCACCAGCCAGGCGGGCTCCAAACTAGACAGCGTGTCCGAGTGGTTAAGGAGGTGGACTCGAAATCCACTAGGCTCAGCCTGCGCAGGTTCGAATCCTGCCGCTGTCGGGTTATCCTATGGAAGGAAATTCATTTCTCACCTTCCGGTCCGCACTAGCCAGGCGGACTCCAAACCAGACAGCGTGTCCGAGTGGTTAAGGAGGTGGACTAGAAATCCACTGGGCTCTGCCCGCGCAGGGTCGAATCCTGCCGCTGTCGGGTTGTCCTTTGGAGGAAAATTCATTTCTCACCTTCCGGTCCGCACTAGCCAGGCAAACTCCGAACCAGACAGCGTGTCCGAGTGGTTAAGGAGGTGGACTCGAAATCCACTAGGCTCAGCCTGCGCAGGTTCGAATCCTGCCGCTGTCGGGTTATCCTATGGAAGGAAATTCATTTCTCACCTTCCGGTCCCTATTAGCCAGGCGCGCTCCAAACCAGACAGCGTGTCCGAGTGGTTAAGGAGGTGGACTAGAAATCCACTGGGCTCTGCCCGCGCAGGTTCGAATCCTGCCGCTGTCGGGTTGTCCTTTGGAGGAAAATTCATTTCTCACCTTCCGGTCCGCACTAGCCAGGCGGACTCCAAACCAGACAGCGTGTCCGAGTGGTTAAGGAGGTGGACTAGAAATCCACTGGGCTCTGCCCGCGCAGGGTCGAATCCTGCCGCTGTCGGGTTGTCCTTTGGAGGAAAATTCATTTCTCACCTTCCGGTCCGCACTAGCCAGGCAGACTCCGAACCAGACAGCGTGTCCGAGTGGTTAAGGAGGTGGACTCGAAATCCACTAGGCTCAGCCTGCGCAGGTTCGAATCCTGCCGCTGTCGGGTTATCCTATAGAAGGAAATTCATTTCTCACCTTCCGGTCCCTATTAGCCAGGCGCGCTCCAAACCAGACAGCGTGTCCGAGTGGTTAAGGAGGTGGACTAGAAATCCACTGGGCTCTGCCCGCGCAGGTTCGAATCCTGCCGCTGTCGGGTTGTCCTTTGGAGGAAAATTCATTTCTCACCTTCCGGTCCGCACTAGCCAGGCGGACTCCAAACCAGACAGCGTGTCCGAGTGGTTAAGGAGGTGGACTTGAAATCCATTAGGCTCAGCCTGCGCAGGTTCGAATCCTGCCGCTGTCGGGTTATCCTATGGAAGGAAATTCATTTCTCACCTTCCGGTCCGCACTAGCCAGTCGGGCTCCAGACCAGACAGCGTGTCCGAGTGGTTAAGGAGGTGGACTCGAAATCCACTAGGCTCAGCCTGCGCAGGTTCGAATCCTGCCGCTGTCGGGTTATCCTATGGAAGGAAATTCATTTCTCACCTTCCGGTCCGCACTAGCCAGGCGCGCTCCAAACCAGACAGCGTGTCCGAGTGGTTAAGGAGGTGGACTTGAAATCCATTAGGCTCAGCCTGCGCAGGTTCGAATCCTGCCGCTGTCGGGTTATCCTATGGAGAGAAATTCATTTCTCACCTTCCGGTCCGCACTAGCCAGGCGGGCTCCAAACCAGACAGCGTGTCCGAGTGGTTAAGGAGGTGGACTTGAAATCCATTAGGCTCAGCCTGCGCAGGTTCGAATCCTGCCGCTGTCGGGTTATCCTATGGAGAGAAATTCATTTCTCACCTTCCGGTCCGCACTAGCCAGGCGGCCTCCAAACCAGACAGCGTGTCCGAGTGGTTAAGGAGGTGGACTTGAAATCCATTAGGCTCAGCCTGCGCAGGTTCGAATCCTGCCGCTGTCGGGCTATCCTATGGAGAGAAATTCATTTCTCACCTTCCGGTCCGCACTAGCCAGGCGGACTCCAAACCAGACAGCGTGTCCGAGTGGTTAAGGAGGTGGACTAGAAATCCACTGGGCTCTGCCCGCGCAGGTTCGAATCCTGCCGCTGTCGGGTTATCCTATGGAAGGAAATTCATTTCTCACCTTCCCGTCCGCACTAGCCAGTCGGACTCCAGACCAGACAGCGTGTCCGAGTGGTTAAGGAGGTGGACTAGAAATCCACTAGGCTCAGCCTGCGCAGGTTCGAATCCTGCCGCTGTCGGATTGTCCTTCGGAGGAAAATTCATTTCTCACCTTCCGGTCCGCACTAGCCAGTCGGGCTCCAGACCAGACAGCGTGTCCGAGTGGTTAAGGAGGTGGACTCGAAATCCACTAGGCTCAGCCTGCGCAGGTCCGAATCCTTCCGCTGTCGGGTTATCCTATGGAAGGAAATTCATTTCTCACCTTACGGTCCGCACCAGCCAGGCGGGCTCCAAACCAGACAGCGTGTCCGAGTGGTTAAGGAGGTGGACTCGAAATCCACTAGGCTCAGCCTGCGCAGGTTCGAATCCTGCCGCTGTCGGGTTATCCTATGGAAGGAAATTCATTTCTCACCTTCCGGTCCGCACTAGCCAGGCGCTCCAAACCAGACAGCGTGTCCGAGTGGTTAAGGAGGTGGACTAGAAATCCACTGGGCTCTGCCTGCGCAGGTTCGAATCCTGCCGCTGTCGGGTTATCCTATGAAAGGAAATTCATTTCTCACCTTCCGGTCCGCACTAGCCAGTCGGACTCCAGACCAGACAGCGTGTCCGAGTGGTTAAGGAGGTGGACTAGAAATCCACTGGGCTCTGCCCGCGCAGGTTCGAATCCTGCCGCTGTCGGGTTGTCCTTTGGAGGAAAATTCAGTTCTCACCTTCCGGTCCGCACTAGCCAGGCGGACTCCAAACCAGACAGCGTGTCCGAGTGGTTAAGGAGGTGGACTTGAAATCCATTAGGCTCAGCCTGCGCAGGTTCGAATCCTGCCGCTGTCGGGTTATCCTATGGAGAGAAATTCATTTCTCACCTTCCGGTCCGCACTAGCCAGGCGGACTCCAAACCAGACAGCGTGTCCGAGTGGTTAAGGAGGTGGACTTGAAATCCACTGGGCTCTGCCCGCGCAGGTTCGAATCCTGCCGCTGTCGGGTTATCCTTTGGAGTAAAATTCATTTCTCACCTTCCGGTCCGCACTAGCCAGGCGGACTCCAAACCAGACAGCGTGTCCGAGTGGTTAAGGAGGTGGACTCGAAATCCACTAGGCTCAGCCTGCGCAGGTCCGAATCCTGCCGCTGTCGGGTTATCCTATGGAAGGAAATTCATTTCTCACCTTACGGTCCGCACCAGCCAGGCGGGCTCCAAACTAGACAGCGTGTCCGAGTGGCTAAGGAGGTGGACTCGAAATCCACTAGGCTCAGCCTGCGCAGGTTCGAATCCTGCCGCTGTCGGGTTATCCTATGGAAGGAAATTCATTTCTCACCTTCCGGTCCGCACTAGCCAGGCGGACTCCAAACCAGACAGCGTGTCCGAGTGGTTAAGGAGGTGGACTAGAAATCCACTGGGCTCTGCCCGCGCAGGGTCGAATCCTGCCGCTGTCGGGTTGTCCTTTGGAGGAAAATTCATTTCTCACCTTCCGGTCCGCACTAGCCAGGCAGACTCCGAACCAGACAGCGTGTCCGAGTGGTTAAGGAGGTGGACTCGAAATCCACTAGGCTCAGCCTGCGCAGGTTCGAATCCTGCCGCTGTCGGGTTATCCTATGGAAGGAAATTCATTTCTCACCTTCCGGTCCCTATTAGCCAGGCGCGCTCCAAACCAGACAGCGTGTCCGAGTGGTTAAGGAGGTGGACTAGAAATCCACTGGGCTCTGCCCGCGCAGGTTCGAATCCTGCCGCTGTCGGGTTGTCCTTTGGAGGAAAATTCATTTCTCACCTTCCGGTCCGCACTAGCCAGGCGGACTCCAAACCAGACAGCGTGTCCGAGTGGTTAAGGAGGTGGACTAGAAATCCACTGGGCTCTGCCCGCGCAGGGTCGAATCCTGCCGCTGTCGGGTTGTCCTTTGGAGGAAAATTCATTTCTCACCTTCCGGTCCGCACTAGCCAGGCAGACTCCGAACCAGACAGCGTGTCCGAGTGGTTAAGGAGGTGGACTTGAAATCCATTAATTAGGCTCAGCCTGCGCAGGTTCGAATCCTTCCGCTGTCGGGTTATCCTATAGAGAGAGATTCATTTCTCACCTTCCGGTCCGCACTAGCCAGGCGGGCTCCAGACCAGACAGCGTGTCCGAGTGGTTAAGGAGGTGGACTCGAAATCCACTAGGTTCAGCCTGCGCAGGTTCGAATCCTGCCGCTGTCGGGTTATCCTATGGAAGGAAATTCATTTCTCACCTTCCGGTCCCTATTAGCCAGGCGCGCTCCAAACCAGACAGCGTGTCCGAGTGGTTAAGGAGGTGGACTAGAAATCCACTGGGCTCTGCCCGCGCAGGTTCGAATCCTGCCGCTGTCGGGCTGTCCTTTGGAGGAAAATTCATTTCTCACCTTCCGGTCCGCACTAGCCAGGCGGACTCCAAACCAGACAGCGTGTCCGAGTGGTTAAGGAGGTGGACTTGAAATCCATTAGGCTCAGCCTGCGCAGGTTCGAATCCTGCCGCTGTCGGGTTATCCTATGGAGAGAAATTCATTTCTCACCTTCCGGTCCGCACTAGCCAGGCGGGCTCCAAACCAGACAGCGTGTCCGAGTGGTTAAGGAGGTGGACTTGAAATCCATTAGGCTCAGCCTGCGCAGGTTCGAATCCTGCCGCTGTCGGGTTATCCTATGGAGAGAAATTCATTTCTCACCTTCCGGTCCGCACTAGCCAGGCGGGCTCCAAACCAGACAGCGTGTCTGAGTGGTTAAGGAGGTGGACTTGAAATCCATTAGGCTCAGCCTGCGCAGGTTCGAATCCTGCCGCTGTCGGGCTATCCTATGGAGAGAAATTCATTTCTCACCATCCGGTCCGCACTAGCCAGGCGGACTCCGAACCAGACAGCGTGTCCGAGTGGTTAAGGAGGTGGACTAGAAATCCACTGGGCTCTGCCCGCGCAGGTTCGAATCCTGCCGCTGTCGGGCTATCCTATGGAGAGAAATTCATTTCTCACCCTCCGGTCCGCACTAGCCAGGCGGACTCCGAACCAGACAGCGTGTCCGAGTGGTTAAGGAGGCGGACTAGAAATCCACTGGGCTCTGCCCGCGCAGGTTCGAATCCTGCCGTTGTCGGGTTGTCCTTCGGAGGAAAATTCATTTCTCACCTTCCGGTCCGCACTAGCCAGTCGGGCTCCAGATCAGACAGCGTGTCCGAGTGGTTAAGGAGGTGGACTCGAAATCCACTAGGCTCAGCCTGCGCAGGTCCGAATCCTTCCGCTGTCGGGTTATCCTATGGAAGGAAATTCATTTCTCACCTTACGGTCCGCACCAGCCAGGCGGGCTCAAAACTGGACAGCGTGTCCGAGTGGTTAAGGAGGTGGACTCGAAATCCACTAGGCTCAGCCTGCGCAGGTTCGAATCCTGCCGCTGTCGGGTTATCCTATGGAAGGAAATTCATTTCTCACCTTCCGGTCCCTATTAGCCAGGCGCGCTCCAAACCAGACAGCGTGTCCGAGTGGTTAAGGAGGTGGACTAGAAATCCACTGGGCTCTGCCTGCGCAGGTTCGAATCCTGCCGCTGTCGGGTTATCCTATGGAGAGAAATTCATTTCTCACCTTCCGGTCCGCACTAGCCAGGCGGGTCCAAACCAGACAGCGTGTCCGAGTGGTTAAGGAGGTGGACTTGAAATCCATTAGGCTCAGCCTGCGCAGGTTCGAACCCTGCCGCTGTCGGGCTATCCTATGGAAGGAAATTCATTTCTCACCCTCCGGTCCGCACTAGCCAGGCGGACTCCGAACCAGACAGCGTGTCCGAGTGGTTAAGGAGGTGGACTTGAAATCCACTGGGCTCTGCCCGCGCAGGTTCGAATCCTGCCGCTGTCGAGTTGTCCTTTGGAGGAAAATTCATTTCTCACCTTCCGGTCCGCACTAGCCAGGCGGACTCCAAACCAGACAGCGTGTCCGAGTGGTTAAGGAGGTGGACTCGAAATCCACTAGGCTCAGCCTGCGCAGGTCCGAATCCTGCCGCTGTCGGGTTATCCTATGGAAGGAAATTCATTTCTCACCTTACGGTCCGCACCAGCCAGGAGGGCTCCAAACTAGACAGCGTGTCCGAGTGGTTGAGGAAGTGGACTGGAAATCCATTAGGCTCAGCCTGCACAGGGTCGAATCCTGCCGCTATCGGGCTATACCTTAAAGGGAAGTTTATTCTTCACTGGCCTTGACCTGGCCTGCCTCTTATCGGGCTATACTTTGAAGGGAAGTTTATTCTCCACTGGCCTTGACCTGGCCTGTCTCTAGACTCATGACCCGTGAACACGCTGTCACAGACGAAGCCTCAGGTTACTCATTTCTTCCCGCGATCGGAAAAATAGCTGCCATGCTCCCACTCTATCTCACACCCGCCTCGTCGTGCTTTGTTTCGTCCCGCCGATCATCACCTGTCGAAGACCTGAAGTAGCATGGATAGATCAAACGGGGGGTGAGGTACGCAGTCTACAACAGCCCGCTCAGCACTCCACAGCGAGAAGCGCTCGATGCGAGCTGAACGGGCATACTGAAAGAGTGGAAACGGTCGATGCCCTGCGGGGAGCCATGTGAACTAATATCCTACTGACGACAAAGTAAATCAGCGCTGACAATTTGCGGAAATCGAGAATTCAGCAGCGCCGACAAATATTCCTGTCGAGTATATAACAAACACAAGACAGCTGTAGCGTTAGAAATGTCGACTTTGGCTCCTCCTGTGCTCCATTCTTGGACTCACAATAGAATCCTTCCTAAACGCTCTGCTGCCAGTGGACGGATCTGATGCAACTTCAATCACCACCGACTCGGCTGACTACCCTCGGCTCACTTCCGACGGAGAATATCGAGAGTGGACTTGTAATCTTATTCCCACTTGCGTTTCCCCAAATCGTACTGGGAGGGTCATAACCTCCTCGCCCCAGACCTGCGTACTCTTCCTTTCTACCAACGTTCTGAGCCCCCACGTAAGTGCCGTACGACAGGGGACCATCTAACAGCAAAACACGAGTCTGCATGATCGAGAGTGTAAACCCTCTTACCGGATGGTAGAACCACATTGCGTTTCCTCGGCCACACCTCGAGCTCGAGGATGTCGAAGCCCCCAACAGCAAAGGTTACGAAGGCATAGGTGGCACAGATAGTGAGCACTGTCCAAAACACGAAGGTCGGCACTCGGAAGACGAGGACTCCGATCTGAGTGAGGATGGTTACCATCATGTTAGAGCTAAGAGGTTGCCTACCAACAGATGGACTATCAAGGCCACCACGAAGCACAGCATGTAGCTGGTGTAAGCATATTGAACAAACCTGAGATGATGATGATACACTACCGCGCGCCACGAAATTGCTATTGCAGTATTTCCAGCTAAAGATACTTTGTCCTCATGAGCAATGCCAGCATTGCGAGCTCATACACCAACGGCATCGTGAATCCTTTCATATTCACAGCCCTGGCCACTGCCGAGTCGTGAGGTACACACAGTATCTTCTCGTCTCACACGAATAGAGCGATGAGAGGGATTTCGATGAATCCACGATCAGTCGCGATGACTGCCACACAGCTCGGCCCCAGTCGTACTTCATTTCCTTAGATAAGACCTCCTCCAATGGTGGCTCTCCAGGACCCTCCGAAAACCACATTGCAGGGTCTAGCTGGTCTACCACTGAACCTGATATCTAAACTACAGATCAGCGTGACGAGGCAAGGCTAGCTACTCGTATTGCTGGTGATGCTGACAGCTTCCTCACCATCCCAACCGTCCATCAGCGATGATGATGATTCAACACGACTAGGCTGCTGCTCGTCGTTTGTGGATGACTGTTGCTCTTGGGGCGGAGGTGAGGTGAGTAACACTTGGAGAGGCGAATAGAATCTGAACACCACCAAGATCAGCAGTAGAGGGAGCAGGATCTTCATCAACGACAACAACGCGTGGCCCCGACTTCTGTGATGAAGGACTCGGAAGTGATGCAGAAAACGGAGAGAACTTCATAGCAGAACATTTTCCGTCTGACCAGTATACATCAAATCCTTATAAACCAGCGGGACCTGATACGCTGTCAAGGCCGCAGGGTTCGTTGCTCCCTGGCTACACTGACGATGCTGTCCGCGGAAACTGTATGGGCGCACATGCCGAGGCTACCTCTGTAGCATATCTTCTTTACACTCAAACCGATCACCAATCCACTCCCTCACGTGCTCACGTCTACTGGGCACCTCCGACCAATGGTATCTTGCCACGTACATGTGCACCTGATGTAGACGAGTACAGCAGGAGGAGCAGGTAAGGACGGTTAGCCACCTCTCTAGGGAACCTTCCTCGCCACATGCTGTCGAGAGTAGCACGCTCGAATGGCTGAAGGATAAAAGATGATAGTTACCGATCGGTGAGGTAGCTGGTACTTGGAAGTCCACCGTGCCAGTGGTGACGTCCAGACAGCAGTCGATGGCACTGAATGTTCGTAGAGCGTCGATGGCCGTGGTGAGCAGAGCACTCCATGGTCTAGAAGTATACCTAACCATCCACAAAGGGGGTAGAAAGGAGAGTTGCATCCAGTCTGTGGACGCTGTGAGCATGGAGCTCAGAGTTACGTGGGTTCCATGAGAATAGGTGAGGAGACGGTAGGAGATGTAAACGAAAATACCTGAGCTGGCTGCTGCTGCTGCTGCTGTTGGTTGTCCCTCGTTGCTCATCATCACCATCCTCGTCCCTGTCCACGTATGCCTCAGGATACACCGCCAGTGTTATACCCTCATTGTCGTTGAAGGCCGCCAGGTACCTTCATAACACAGCTAGAAAGTAAGAATATACCAACGGCAATACACCGTTACACGGCCTAGAGGCAATGCACTTCGCGCTGTTTGAATGGCACGGTGACCACGAACCGCTGTGTAACGATGGAGGCTCAGACTGTGCCGTTAGCTCCGTGATGAAGACGAGTGGAAATATCAACACAGGAATGCTTATATCATGTGTATTCATATTTTGATAATGATATTATCAATTCATACCAAATTTTACGATCAAGCAAATGAATACAGGGTGCCGACTGAAAAGATTCGACTTGTAGATCCCTAGAGCCGGCAAGGTGACTCTAAGGTGACTCAATACGTATGCATTTCTGCAGAAATCGAGTTGAGCATTGGTACATGTACCAATCGAAAGTCGCATCAGGCTCTGCATAATTCCGTCTTCCACCGCAACCCCGGACTACAAATCAGCGCGCCACAAAATGGTAAGAGTTGGCTAGCGGAATTAGATAGCGAAAAAATTTGCCCACGTCAGAATGATTCGGGATCGGAATCATGCGGTGTGGGCTCTCGTTGGCATGAAGGAATCGGATAATAGCATGGCAACTCACTCTATATGGTGTCTTAAAGAGCTTCTGTCCTTCCTCTGTGAACTCTGATCAGCCCCATCAACATGCACGAAGGGGAAGAGCATCATCTGCATAGCCCATCCTATAACAGGTACTCGACGCCAGCTGTCATCCACGATGAACTTCAGCGTTGACAGTCGTCGTAGACGTAGACACAGGCATATCATACTGAGCGCATCCAATCTGAAAAGCGGGCTTGCGTTCCACAGAGCTTTAAGTTGAGCCTGACGAAGGCGATTTCTTAATAACCAGCTTCGAACCACAGGAGGGTGGAGGCGACCACGGTCGTTCATCATCGAGCTGGAACTGCCGAGACTAGGACAACTGTACCGAAAGGCGAAGAAGGAATTTCAACTAAAACGATAACCCGACAGCGGCAGGATTCGAACCTGCGCCAACAGGATCAGCGTTGTAGCGCTGAGGCCATATCCACGCTGATCATCCTAGAGGACAACGCCAACGCCGAAATCCGTTGAAGGCATTTCAAACTGCACGCTGCGAAATCCTCGCTCGAGAATCAGTTGTAAACCTACCCGTTGCTCATATTGGAGATGACCAATGGTCTCTCGAGGTAGCCATCTCTTAACTCCTCGCTGCCGGTGATAACGAGACGGATGCCACAGAAGAGCTCAACCAGACCACCGACGAAACCGAAATAAAGCAGCTGGACCTGTGGTGATTGTGAGAGTACTGAGCGGAGCGAAGCTCCGGACTCACCGTCATTATCCATCTACGATAGAGTTCTCGGATTCTGGTCGTCGGCAGTGGTAATAAAGGCCACGCCAGTGGCAGGAGAAATATAGTATACGATATTGCCACAATACTGGCCTACAAATCGATTCCGTCAAGTGCCAGCATCGACCTTGGATACTCAATGATTCCCGGTATGTAGCGTACACGTACCAATAAACAAGTTAGGATGCCTTTGAAACGACGAGGCCTGTTCCTTCGGGATGGATGCCGCCAAGCGATATCGACACCTCTAACGCTTGCAGGGCTACTCATCATCAACACTACAGGAGGCTCATCAAACACAAAACTGCCAAGATGAGCTCGAAGGCTATGAGTCTTACCCGCTACAGTGGCCGAATCCTCAAGCGATAGCTCTGTTGCATAACCTAACCTCGACCTATCTCAGGTTGAGCTCTCCAGCGTCCTGAGGTATATGAGTGCGCGGTGAACTGTTGTCCCAACTAGGATCACTAGGTTCGTGCAATTCGTTGATTCACCAGCTTTCCTTCTTCTATAGGCAACGCTTTCGGGACCACTGAACCCAACACTGGAGCAGAGGCGAGAGATTAATTCTGGTGAGAGCACCGAGGGCTCTACATGCATCGTGCTGAGTCCCTCAGCTGAGACGGCAACCAGGGAGGAGGTCACGCTAGAAAGGTCGCGCGGCACACGACCAAGTCAAGAAACCGCCAATATACTCGTTCGACCGAGCACAACCTGAGTAATGACAAAACCTCAGACTCTCCGAGGGCTTAATGAGCCTGAAACTACACCTACTCCTGTGGAATAGTAAAGTAATTTCAAACTTACACGGAAACCACGATTCTCGTGCACTGCATAACGAATCGGTTCGCTTATACGTCGCACAAAATGCCTTTACAAGACCTACTAAAAGCTGTGGATTGAAGCCGCAGCAATGGAGCAATGATACGAAGCGTGACATAGCAAAGGGTGGATACTGTTCATGTTGCATCTGGCGCTACGCCAGCAATGCTCGGCCACTCTGAATTACCCCAGAAGCAAACCTGAAACGGCGTAGCTAC